CGTCTAGGACGGCAAAGCAGGCTTTCTACAGGGGCAGAACATGATGACGGAGTCTGTGTGGACGAAGTGGTTTGTGGATTAGGAAGAGGGGTAACAGATGGAGACAAAACCACGGGAGGTAGGAGTGGTGAAGACAGGTGTGGTAGAGCTGTCGGAAGGTGGGTAACAGACGGCGATGAAACCAAGGTAAATATAGGTGGTGAAGACAGGGGGGATGAAGTCAGGGGTGGTGAAGTGGCTGAAGCAGAGACAGGGGGGGCAGTCGTAGGTGAGACCCGAAGAGGGGACTCTGCAGGTGGTAATGCAGGCATGGCCACAGATGCTATGGAGGAACGCACAGAGACCAAGGGCAACAAAGCAGCTGCGGTGGTCACGGATGCCATGGAGGAACACACCGAGACCGAGGGCGACACAACAGCTTTGGTGGCACCGAATGCCATGGAGGAACACACCGAGACCAAGGGCGACACAGCAGCTGCGGGTCGAGTTGCGCCCGTGAAATCAATCATAGAAGCAACAAAGGCCGATGAGGAAGAGGCTGCGAACCGAAAAGGGGCAGTCAGGGTCACAAACGGCATGGAAGGGGTTACTAAGACTGATGAGGACGCAGGTGCGGTAGACGCAGGTAATGAAGAAGAGGCTGTGATAGGTGTGACAGGCGCCGATAATGAAGAAGGGATTGTGACAGGCGTAGTCGGAGGAGAGTGTGTGGATATCCAACAAAGCGGGTGATGAACAGACCATCGAAGCATGTTGCGAAACCTTATATATATATCGTCACAAACAGAATTACCCGGTAAACCGTAGCCAGAGAGAGAGAAGAGGACAACAAACGTGGGGCTGTGGCAAACTGTTTCGCCTGATGAGTCGGAGTTTCACCGACTCATCAGGAGGCTGAACCCTCAACAGTCTGCAGAATCCCCTCATTGATTACACTGTAAATGATAATCTACCTTAACCAAAATCAAAGATATATATATATATGTATTGTCACAAAACTATTGACTAAGAGAGTAAGCACGTGAGTAGAAGAAGAAATAAGATAAGCAAAGAAAAGAAAAATGAAAGGACAAACAGGCAAAGAGACAAACAAACCAGAATGACACAAAATAGTGTCCTCTTATTCTTTGTTTCACAGTATTATTATTTCTTT